AATTGAATAAACTAACGGACTAAGTTGAAATCGAGAGATGATACTTAGTTGGTCTACAGTAGTAAAACTATAGGTTGAGCGAAAGCTAGAGACAGGTTACCGCAACTTGTGAGGTTTTGATAAACTCTATAGAGCATAATGATCTTCAATTGCTTAAGTTTGATTAGAGATAATTCGGGCTAGTAATTAGGAGTTAATTCGATAATTGTTCGAGAGAAATTTATTGGAAATTTAACGAGTTTGACCTTTAAGAAGAGCTTAATGAAATTAGAATAAGTGATCAATACATATGAATAGGAGTTCATGTAAAATCTATGCCCTAGGTCTATTCATCTTCTTTTAACCCAAAGATTTATTTTAATTATTGATAATCCTAGGATTATATTGTTTTATCTAGGTTTTTTTTGGCCGGATTTTGGATACTTCTTATGTTGTTTTTGCCTGAATTGCAACTTAATTTCATATGTTTTATGTTTCAGGCCAAAACATGCACTTAAAGCAAATAAAGAGCGGAATTGAGTTCTTGGACCTAAAAGCAAGCGAATCTCAGGTTTCGGAGAAATTCTGACGCGGATTTGAAGCATTATGAAGCTTGTTCCTATTGGAGAGCACCAAAGATTGAAGATTCAAGCAAAGAAGCAAGCGAAGGACAATTCTGTAATTTCAAGAATGGTTCAGAACAGTTCACCGCAGCGATAAACTCTCGGGAATTTGTTGTCGTGGCGAAGTTTATTCTTCGCTGTGGCGAAGTCTACAAGTTCCAGTTTTTATTAAAATGCACAGTTTTAATTTAGGAAAGTTTTAGGTTTTTTGGAACGACTATATAAGAAAAGCTTAGCCATTTTAGATGGGAGTTCGACATTTTGGGAGAAATGAGAGAAGATTTGAGGTTGATTTGAGATTGAACTCTTTGGGATTCATCAAATAGGGAAGATTTTTGTTCTCTTTCTTTATTCCAACATGTTGAATGCTATGTTGACTATTTTTATTTCGATTTGTGTTAATTTCATTATGAACTAACTCACTTTGGGTTAGGGTTTTGATGTAATTGGGATTCCTATGTTTAATCAATGAATTAGTGTTGTTCTACATTCTATTGCATGGATTGTATGATTACTCTTGTTTATATTGAAATTATCTGTTGAACATGATGAGATTGAGAAATGAATCATGTATGAGCTTCTTAGGGTAATCACCATTGTTGTATTGAACGCTAGAAATAGGTTTGAGAATCAATAAAATCAATTTAGGATTCCATTAGCTTAACGAACTTGAATCTATTAATCTTCAAATTGTTGGGTGTGGAAGCTTAATAGGGAAAAGTAGGAAAACATAGCCTGAGAAGGTATGTTTTACACATTAGGGAGTTCGATTTATAATCCGTGCATCTGAGTGTAGAGGTAGCATAATTCGTAGATTAATTCATAAAATCCTAGTAAAGTCAAAACCTTAACCATTTGCTTTAATTGATATTTTCTCTCGAATTAGTTTTACTGTCATTAATTAGCCTTTTAAGTATGTAGTAAATTTTGTTTTCATTTTAGCTTAAATTCTCCCGCCAATCCAAACATTTTTCGGTTTCTCCAACTTGATAAACAACTAGGAAAATCAGTGCTTAACAACAATCCTTATGGGAACGATACTTTATTTATCACTTTATTACTTTTTGCAACTAGTGCCCTTGCTATACATTGCATGTTGTAGTTACAACGCAACAAGTTTTTGATTTATAGAAAACAGACTTTGCCACGGTGAAGTTCTTCGTTCAATTTGCAAAACCCAGTTGATGCCGCGGCGAAGAAAATTTCTTGCTACGGCAAAAAATTCCAGGGAATACAACGCCTTGGCGAAGAATGAACTTCGCCACGGCAAAGTTTGGAACTTTTCAAATCCAATTTTGTGCAAAGTGTACATCGCTGCAGCAAAAACTGGAAATTTTCGCTTTTTCGCCATAATTCGATCATTCACCTGAAACACCCAAAAACAAACGAAATTAAATTGATTCTAAATTATAAAACAACTAACAAATTCAAAACAACAGACAAACAAACAAACAACTAAGAACACTTGGGTTGCCTCCCAAGAAGCGCTTGTTTATAGTTGGAAGCTCTACTTTCTCAAGTCATCACTCCGGGATATCAAGTTGGACGGGTAACAACTTGCAACTCATCGCCCCATCAATGTATGGCTTCAACCGCTGTCCATTGACCTTAAATGTGCCCTTTTCTTCATGAGAAACCTCCCCTGCCCCGTATGGGTAGACTTTTGTAACTATGAAGGGTCCGGACCATCTAGACTTAAGTTTTCCAAGGAAAAGCCCGAGTCTAGAGTTATACAATAAAACCTTCTAACCCACTTCAAAGTTCTTCTTCGTGATATGCTTATCATGCCATATCTTGGTCTTTTCTTTGTAAATCCAGGCATTCTCATATGCTTTATGACGAAACTCGTCAAGTTCATTCAATTTCAGCATCTTTTCCTCCCCAGCAGCTCATAAATCCATGTTTAGCTGCTTTACTGACCAATATACCTTATGCTCGAGTTCCACTGGCAAGTGACATGCTTTCCCATATACCAACCTAAATGGAGACATACCAATTGGAGTCTTGAATGCAGTGCGGTATGCCCATAATGCATTATCTAACTTCCGTGGCCAATCCTTCCTGGACGCATTATTTGTCTTCTCTAAAATTCTTTTCAACTCTCTATTCGACAGTTCCACTTGCCTGTTGGTCTGAGGATGGTATGGTGTGGCCACTCTTGTTTCACTCCATATTTTCCCAACTGAGCATCAAATTGCCTATTGCAAAAATGCGATCCTCCATCATTGATGATTGCCCGTGGTACCCCAAATCTTGAGAAAATGTTCTTTCTCACAAAGTTAACCGCCCCCTGGCATCATTGGATGGCAGTGCAATTATTCTCTTTTTAGTTCTCTTTTTAATTCCAATTCTTAATTTTATTTTATTTAGGTTTTCCTTGATACAATTTGGATTGATCAAATAGTAATAGGATAGTTTAAATTGGTAGTTGATAATAGTAATTCCCTTGGGTTTATATCCGTATTTATACACTTTATTACTTGAATGATTTCGTACACTTGCGAAAATCTACAACATGGGTCACATTATAATGGTGTACCTTTCATCTTCATGAGTCATTTTCTTTGGCTTTTCACTTTCGTCTTCTATTGTAGTTAATGAATGCATCTTTTCTTTTTCCTGTAAAGATGAAACTGATTGAATTGGTGTAAAAGAACTTGTATACATTCTGTGAAATCCTGAAACTCTTACTCCGCCAATGGTATTGTTACAAATATTTTAGTTAAAACACATTGTAACTTGTTGGATGTAGTTTCTGATTTTTAATGAGTGAAAGTACAAGAAATACAGAACATGACTGAAACTCTGTGAAAGAACAGAGAGGACAGCAGAGGATCAGAGGATATATGGGTCTATAACTTAATTTTTTATTTAGTTCCAAATCCAGAAATAATTTCCTATACATGTAATTTCCTTTAGTTTGAATTAATCTTAAAATATTTCTTTCTTCTTTTTGTTCTGTGTTTTTGCTTGGTGTTTTTATTCCGACAATTGATGTTATCCCCTTTGACAAGTTCATGGATATCATGATTATAATATCGGTAATGTTGTCCAATCAAAATAATAAAACTGAACCAGCCAATACTTTTCCTAGTCTACGTGATGCGTTGGGGACTCAAGATGGCTTCACCTCCAGAGTTTAAGTCAATGAAAATTGAGTAAAATACAACGCCCACAATAAGAATTATGAAGAAGTCATTTTCAAGAGTAATCTCACACTTTGGTGAATAGCTTTCAACATACGCAATTGAAATTGAATGCTCTACCTTTTTTTTTTTTTATAATACATTTGAAGTTGAAAGTGAATCATGGTAGTGACATTCCAGTTGAATAATATCCAGAGATCTGCTAACAGACATGAACATGCTTGAGGAAATTGGACACAGATTCTATAATTAATAGTGTTCATTGTTTTACCTCTTCATTACAAATTGATTATACAATGATGTATAATTGCTTCTGGCAAGAAACCAAACTGGGAATCATGGAGATGATAAAGCAATATTTGGTCTCTGCATTTCTTGGCATAGTAGCTTTTACAGCTCTGGTTTATGCCCAGAATCAATCAGGTTTTTATACCTCCAATTTTAAATATTCTTAACTCCATACATGCAATAAGCTTATCTGTTAATTTATCTTTTTGTTTATCTTCTGTCAGGTTTTATTAGCATAGATTGTGGAATACCTGAAAATAATATTGGCTATATTGATGAGATAACAGGTATAAATTACTCTTCAGATGCAGGCTTCACAGAGAGTGGTATAAGCTATAATATATCATCTGAATACAAAACTTCCACCCTCGAGAAACAATTTTTAAGTGTTAGAAGCTTCCCTGAGGAAACAAGAAATTGTTACACCCTAAAACCTGAAGGTGGCTACGATAAGTTTCTGATCAGAGCAAGATTCATGTATGGAAATTATGATGGGCAAGGCATTGTGCCAAGTTTTTAAGCATTTCTTATTCTGATGGGTGGGATTCAGTGGTATTCGAAAATGCATCTTCGATTATTACCAAGGAGATCATCCACATGTCTCAGAGAATTATATACATGTCTGTCTTCTAAAACATTGGCTCTGGAACACCTTTCATTTCAGCATTAGAATTAAGGCCATTGATAAATTCTAGTTATGTACGAAATCAGAATCATTACTACTCGTGGGGCGGTGGGATATCGGTTCAACATCCATCAGTAGTCAGGTAATAATTTAGAATCACCTAAATTTAATCTCTATGTTGATCTAATCTGTGTTACTAACTGAAAGTGTGTATTACATTTACAGTATAAAAAAGATGCTTATGATCGCATATGGTTACCCCTCAACTACATCAACTACGAACCAGTAAGTAACTCGGTCACTTTCAACCAGACTAATTATCAACTCCCATCTGAAATCATGAGGCCTGCTGTTATTCCCACAAATGATGCCAATTCTCTGCAAATTTATGCGCTACTTAATGGTCCGAAAGTTCAATATCAGGTGTATTGCCATTTTTTAGATGTTGAAGTCAAAGAAGGTAACCAAAGCAGAGAGATGAACATCTTTGCGAATGAAAGCTCTGGTATGGACCTTTTATTCCCAATTCCTCCTACACAACAACAGTAGTTATTGATGATCCCTCGATTGAAAAGAAAATTGTTGCTCAATCAACAAAACCGAGAATTCAACTCAACCGCCCATTCTCAACGCTTTTGAGATATATACTACAAAAGAATTCCACAATTGTTAGCTGATCACAAATGGTACGTTTCAAACTTCTTATTTTTTAGATTATTCACGTTACTTGATCAGTGTTTACTGCAATGTAACAAATTATTAGTTGATGCAATCCTGAAGATACAATATATTGGAGTGAAAAGAAATTGGCAAGGATCCATGTGCCCCTAAAGCTTATTGTGGCAAGGTCTTAATTGCAGCAACAATGAATATAAACCACCAAGGATCATATCCCTGTAAGTTTACACAGAAGCTAGAAGCCTACTCTTCAATGTTGATGATCGCTGCTGTTAATGAATGGCTTACTTATAGGGACTTATCACTAAGTGGAATAGCCGGAGATAGATCCATGGATATCGAATCTCACATCATGAAAATTTTGTGAGCTTCTCTCTTATAACATTATCCTGAGCTATTAGTGATAGGAGCTAATAAGCTAAATTAATTCAATCCATGGCAGGGACTTATCAGACAACAGTTTGACGGGACCTGCCTGATTTTCTATCATTTACCATTCTTGACAGTGCTGTAAGTTACTCATAAATAATCATGTCAGAAAGTAGAGTTTCATGGTTAAAGGCGCCAAAGATTGTCTTTACTGTCCATTCGCAGAAACCTGAGTAGAAACAAACTCAAAGGTTCAGTTCCAGCCAGACCATGGAGAAATGGACAAGTTTTCTGTCACTAAGGTTAGCTTTGTGGTCCAAGTTAATATCTATTCTACAAGGTTTTATCATTTCAAGTCTATGCTGTTTAATCTTCTGTTGATTCTAGTGTCGACGGGAATCCAGATCTTTACATTCCAAGTTCACATAAAAAGAGAACAAGTTTATTTTTCCAGTAGCAGCAGCAGTTGTTTCAATTTCCGTCCTCTCAACTGCAATAGCTATTTTGTGGAGCTTTAAAGAAGAAAACGAGGTACTAACACCATTTTTCTTTTTCAAGAAAAAACTATGACAATATCATTTCGTTGATAAAATATAACAAAAAGTCATCCCCTGAACAGTTTTCTCATCCCTATCTTGATTTTCCTTTCTTTTTTTCTCAATCAAATCAGAATCCTTAACAGTACTCTTTACTATTAGCAATCAAATTAAATTTTGAAAATTTTCCGATACAGAAGACAAATGGTGGTTATCATTGATTATAGTAGGAGCAGCTCTACTGGTTCCCCTGTTCTGCTACTTATGCTGTTATGATGGAGAGTACGCAAGGCAAAAGGTAATAGCTTGGAACAAATAAATATATTGCAAATTATCAATCATGATTATTAGAATCTTTTTTCATGTACTAATTTAGTGAGAACATAAAGACCAAGAGGACTATTGCGTGAATTTGGAGACAATTTGTCACCTTCATCACAGACGGCAAACGAATAACAGAAGACAAAATCGCAATATCAAGCATGACCTCAATATTTTAAGTTTCAAACCATCGCTGCTGCTACAAACAATTTCTCTACTACAAATGTGCTTGGGAAGGGCGGTTTTGGTGCAGTTTACAAGGTACGACTTTGCAACTATTTAATTGAAAGGAGTTGTATAATGATCAATTGTCATAGAGTTGTGATTTCAGGGGATATTACTTGACGGGCAAGAAATAGCAATAAAGAGACTCTCAAAAAGTTCTAACCAAGGAGTAGAAGAGTTCCAGAATGAAGCAAAGCTTATTGCAAAACTCCAGCATACTAATCTTGTTAGACTTTTAGGATGTTCTCTGCAGGCAGAGGAAAGGATTTTAATCTATGAGTACATGCCAAATAAAAGCTTGGATTTCTTCATTTTCGGTAAGCCATTTCAGCATATGATGAATTTGCAACACGAGTTTCTCACTTATCAACTACTCAATTTTGATTTGTTGCTTTGTGGCAGATTCTCATAGAAAGAAACTGTTAAACTGGAAGACACGATTCAACATAATTGAAGGAATAGCTCAAGGACTTATTTATCTACACAAATACTCAAGATTAAGAGTAATTCACAGAGACTTGAAAGCTAGCAACATTTTATTAGATGATCAAATGAATCCAAAAATATCTGATTTTGGTATGGCCAGAATCTTTGGGGTGAATGAATCTATAGCAAATACAAATAGAATTGTTGGGACATAGTAAGTATATGCTAAATTTTCTATCAATAGAAAAGGATTATATATCTTTTTAAATGGTTTATTAACCGGAGTTTGATTTTTACAGTGGCTATATGTCTCCGGAGTATGCCATGAATGGCATTGTGTCAATTAAAACTGATGTATATAGTTTTGGAGTTTTAGTACTGGAAATTGTGAGTGGCAAGAAGAACAGTGGCTGCTATCACACAGAACATCCACTCAATCTTGTAGGATATGTAAGTTCTCAATCAAATTGTGTACTTTTCACAAATGTATGGAATCTAACCTTGAATATCTTGTGCTTCAGGCATGGCAGCTGTGGAATGAAGGTAAAGGCTTGGAGCTGATGGATCCAACAATGGATGAATCTTGCTCTCCTGATGAAGCACTTAGATGCCTACATGTGGGTCTCCTGTGCGTACAAGACCAAGCAATTGAAAGACCCACAATGCCCAAAGTTATTTCCATGCTCACAAATGAAGCAATCCCTCTACCTGCACCAAAGCAACCAGCATTTTATATCAATGACACTACTGAAGAGTCATAAAATCCTGGAAAAAAGGTAGAAGATTGTTCCATAAACACTGTAACAGTCTCAGTAATGGAAGCTAGATAAACATACTAGTAATCTACTTGGTTATTGAGACCACTACAGTGGGAAAGAGGTAAAAAGAAAATTGCTTTAAACAATTTAATACTCCATTAAATTGTGAAATGGGCAATCTAATGTATATAATCTATTGAGTGAACTATGTAAAACTCTACTTTTACAGGCTATAAACCTGAGATGTTAAAACAATAAAAAGTCTTTTATCTTTTTATAATTTGACAAGTTCATGGCAATTATTAGATCTGTTTCGTTTTCATAAGAAAATGTTTCTACTCCAAAATTTAAAGAAGAAAAAAAAAAGATAATGGGCCTGCAGACATACTTGGGCAGCCAGGAAATTGCACTACTTCATAAGCGATCGAAGAGCTTAAAATGATGTTTGTCTGAGCTTATAAGCTGACAAAACTTTAAAATTAAACTGATCTGTTTATTTATAACTTTTGAGGGTTTATAAGCTGAGATTATAAGCCAAAAAAAAAAAGTTGGGGGCAAATTTTTTTTTTTTTTTTAAGCTTATAAGTATTCTGCTTATAAGCTACTTTAACTATCACCACATTATCCCTTTTTTATTTTAAAATTCTATCCTATACCGTTATTTTTAGATTTGTTCATTATATTTGTTCATTAGTTTATTTTGTATAAAAAATCTAAAAACTATTGATATAAATTTTTAATAAAATATTTGTATATAAAGCATTTGTTTATTTAATGTTAAAATTAAATTATATTGTAATATGATCGAAATATATTTTGATAATATTATAGTAAAAAATTAAGTGAATATAATTTATTATTTATTAAAATAATCTTGTAGTCTTTTTACTCATTTTAATAATAAAATGTATTTATAAGACACATTTTACCAGACGTGTCAACTACTTATCAGTTACTTATAAGTATTTTAACCAAACACACGTAACTGCTTAAATTTCAAATACTTATAAACTAAAATTAGCTTATAAGTACTAACTGCTTATAATCTAATTTTCATAAGCTTAGCCAAACAGACTTTTAGTTTGTTTCACTGAAGTGGTTGAGGCACTTCAAACTTTGAATTCATTAATTTAAATAAAAGTTCAATAATTGTGGTAGTCCTTAGTTAATTAATAAAAAATGCGAAGCTTAGTCAAACCAAAGTGGATAAATTATCTTAAGAAGTGCTTTAATCTTGCATTAAACAATCACTAACCCTTTTAGACGTTAGCATATTTTTTTTTATTTTTCTATTATATATTGAGCTTAACTATTGTATAGATCGGAGGCCAAAAAAGACATATATATGTCAACTCCCTCTAACTCTTTATACTTGATACGAAAATTCACACCAACCAAAAAGATCTGATTGACCTTGGCAGAATCAGAACAAATGTGTGCGTGGCTTAATGAAAATCAGCAATGCAATGTAAAAGTGCAGTAAAATAAGAACACAAACAAATTTTTTAAGTGGTTCAGCAAGTTGAGACTTAAGCCTACGCCCACTATTCTCTTATTACTTTGAGAGCTTACAAAAAAATATGTAAGTGCCTACACAAATATACTATCCCCTCTCTCATAGTTTGAAGGGGTATTTATAGAAGTTTTTGGTAAAGGAAAGAGAGACAAATTTGGGATTGCAATCAAACTTGGTATGCAATCCTGTGATTTTAGTGATAGAGCGCTAAGATCATGCTGCCAGTGATGTTGAACTTATCTCTTCTGAAGTATCAAAGATTAAAGGTTATCCTTGATTTGTCGAACAACTATTAAGATTGTTCACTACGACGAGCTTTAGTTGAGTTGAGCTTACTTTGGATCGCGCTAATTCTAGGTCAAGCCTGATTCTGAGTCGAACTATAACTCTGCGAGCTTCTAGGATCTCCAAGCTTTTTGACAAAGTCAAACACAACATTTGTCCCCCAAGTGTTCAGAGGTTGTGTCGAGCTTCGAAAACTGAAGTTACTTGATTTGCTGCTTAGACTGAGTTCCTTTGTCGATTTAGCTTGCACATAGGTCGTTGAGTTTTGTTTGAGCTTCATCATGCAACCTTAACTTCACTCGACGTGAGTAAGACTTAGCTTCTTATGTAATGTTGTCAAATTCAAAATTTGAAATGAAAGGCACAAGGGTAATTTTCGAGCTGGCATGTAGCATTAAATGCTGCTGACTTTTGTAATTACTTTTTGTCATATTTGCGCCATTATAGTTGGCCACGTGTGGAACTAAAGCGATGTACTTTGCTACTCGTAGAGTTGAGGCGACATGCACTAGCGATTATGATTGCTCAATCTGACGGTTGATCGCCCTTCACTGATTGTCGCCATATGTAACCATTGGACGGCCAAGATAGCTCGGCAAATGGAGGGTTGAGATTCATCGCTAATCGATTCCCGCCGTTTTGGCTTCCCGCTTGACACTATAAAACAAGTTGTTTGCCCTCCTTTCATCCTCACTTGCAACAATTGAGAGCACTCAGCAGTTATTTTCTTCTTTGTTTTCTCCAGCACTTGGGCCTTCCTTTCATGGCGACTTTTTGACGAACCTCTCTGTCACGAACATACCAGTAAGTGTTTTTACACTTGTTCTTTTTAGTTTTGTTTGAATCTTTTACTATTGGGGCAGGCATTGCCATGGCCAAGTTAGTATTTACGGTTCAAACCCTCTAACTAGTGTTTTAGGAGCATTTAGACCAGCGGCCGCCGAAATCCTTCACTAGAAAATAACTAGAATGTTTGATTTTTATGTGAGTTTAGCTAGCAATGTAACATTTTAATTTGTTGTTTGAAAAGTAAGAAATGTGAGGTTTACTTGGAAATAAAGTTAATGTTTTTGTTGTAAATGCTAGGAAAATTACCATCTCTGTTAGTGTTTATTTGAATGTAGTGAATTGGTGTGGCTCGTTTTTATTAATGGATGAAAAGTTAGAACAAAGAATTGAAACCTTGACTATATGTTGTAAATTATCTAGGAAAAAGGAAATTCAATTGTATTTTTTTATTTGGATAATTCTCTGAATATTTTCTTAATTAATGTGTAGTGATTATGGAAGCATATGCTTCAGGAATGAAAACACTCTTATTCTCAAGCATAAATAAACACCTATTGCTTAAATTATCTTGAAATGGGTACACCTCAAAGAGATAAGTTCAAGATTCCAAAACTAGGCCTTGGTTTGGAGAGGCTCTCACTATCTATAGCCTGAAACCTTCCATAAAAGTGGGCCAAATAGTCAAGCAATAACAACTATGTTTGGGCCTTGGTATTCTTTGAATTGGGCAGGACTTTATATGAAAAGCACAAGGGTAATGGTGGTGATGGAAATATATTTGGTTTCATGAGCACCAACGCATTGTCTATAGTAGATAGCAGTAATGTCATGGGAACAAGAACCCAAAGGGCACAATTGCTTACCAATCGGTTGTCAAATGTTAAGAACGAGAATTTATAGTTTCATATAACCCAAGGTTAGTAATTCATTGATTTCCTTACATTGGGCTCTTGCAGGGTGAATATTCTATTGCCTCTTTATGGCCGTTGTGTTGGGTACTTATCAGGTTTCTTAATAGGTTTCATTGGGTTCTTGTTGGTATTGACATGAAGATGTTAAATGTGTACTATCTTGATCCCTTGATGGGAGACCCCTGCATGAATTAATGTTTTCCCTCCAAAGGGTTGCAGCCTTCCTAGGATGCGCTGTAGTGATATAATCATTGCAGATTTTTAAGTGGATAGAAAATGCAATAGCATGTAAAGTGCCAATTTATTATTTAAAAAGAAATTATCGTGTAAAATCTGATTTTATAATATTCACCTAATTTTCCAGGATCTCTTTGTGTACACTGAATTACTTTACCAAAAATAAAATGTAAAGATTCCCATTCTTCGCCAACATTATTTTTATTCATGGAAACCAAATGCATAGATTTCTGAAGTTTTACCGTTAACGTTCCATGATCAACATATTAGTTTGCAAAAGAAGAGCTTGGAATGGCTGACCTGAAGTTTCTATTTCTTTTTATTTTCGAATTTGGTTTTGTGAAATGTATTTGCCTATAATTAGTATTTCGTAGGCCTGATGTTCTTTAGTACAGTGATGATTTGCTTGATCGCTTAGTAAGTGCATGCTCTTGATTTTGTTCTTTGATATCTCTTTCCAGATCCAGAGAAGGCTGTCTGTGCAGTGACCAGATTGCCTGCCAAGTAAGAGTTATTATGGCATTTGTCTTAAAACCTTGCTGGCAACGTAGAAATGCATGTTTTGGAATTGAACTCATGATTTTAAGCAGTTCCGGTTTGTTGTGTACAGTTTCTTGTTTGATTCTCGGCTTATGGAATTTCTTATTTGTAATTTATCTATGTGATGTTACATGTAATGAAAGCTGTGCCAGTATGCCTGCTGTGTAGTGGTAAAATTCACAAGTTATGATTGTATTGATGTAATACTTGAGTGGTAATTGGAGAGACTAAAATTAATGATTTTGCAGGATGACTAAGTTGCTCGATGATGAAATTGAAGAGGATGAGCTGTTCTGGAATCAGGATGCTCTTAAGGAGGTAGTAGCTTAAGCATTATTCAAAGCATTCTCATTCGAATTTGAAATCTGTTCTTTCACTTTATGGATAAGAATCTTTCTTACGAGTAGTTTAATTGAGTATCACCATTTGTATTTTCTTTGCATTCAGTTTTCTTTTGTTCTTTTGCAACTTTTTTCATTGGTAGGTCATGATGATCTGGTTCTGAAAATTAAGCAACAAAATTGACTTTGTTGTCAACAAAATTGACTTATAATGAAATGGTTGGAGTGTGTTTGGGAATGCTTATCTAGAAGAAGCTTTCAAGTTAATTTTTTTTTTTTTTTTTTTCTTGGATAAAAGGAGCTAAGAAGAGATTTTTGGCAAAACACTTACCTAGGGATTTTTGATAAAATTCTTTAATTGCATTTCTAACAAAATAAGTGCAACAATTGTTCATAGAATCGCTGTGTGAATTTTGATTAATTGTGCAGAACATTATGTTTTCTTTTATCAGTGGATGATTGACAGAAAATTTGTTTTTAGACTATGTAAATCTGAACTGCCATTCAAAACTTGAAATTGTGTTTTAATCCTTGAAAATGATTTGGTATCATAATACATACTGTCTTCTTAAATTATCTTTAGTTGCATAAATACTTAATAATTTAAATCATCATTAA